CGCGCGCCCACCTTCTCGTAGCCTTCTTGCAACATTTCTCGCCCGTGGCGAAGCCATCGAAACGCGCCGCCGTACGATAAGATGGGTAGATCGTAACCGCCCACGGTAGGTATAGCTCGCAACTGGGTCAGAGAGCGGCCTCAGCATCGAATACCGAAGCAACGCATGTCTGGGGATGTACCGGATCTCTGTACCATCGCACAAGGTAAGACACTACGATGAAGGCCAAGGCAGAATAGAGGTAAGTCGGGTTTTCCATGACGTGAGAGCGGGGCGCCGCTGCGTATCAGTGGACGATGTCGACTGAGGCGGTCTTTCGAATGAGAATGAAGAGCATATATATAGGGAACATGCGGCCGCTTCCCGAAGCGAGGCTGAGCTCAGCGAGGGAACCGTGAACGAGATGTCAGAGGGGGTTACTCACCCAACATTGCATGCGGCTCCACCGCACGACGTGACCAAGTACGCCGGGCCCATGGGATCTTCTGTGCGGGAACAGAAGGAGCTGTTCGTGGAGGAGGGCGGACGAGTGAATGGAACAGCCTGGTTCTTTCCTTGATATAGTCAACACTATGACCCTTGGCGGTACACAAATTAGTGTTGGCGCCTGTGTGGTGGGCTTCCTACTCTGTCCAACGGCCGAACGCCACGGATGGTACACACGCCGCGGTTGTTTACTACACTCTCTCGGGGTCATCTCCGAGCAAGAAACAAAGTGAGAGAATAGAAGTATGCAGCACGATAGGACGAGAAGGAGAGTGTACAGGCCGAAACTCCGACGAACCGAAGATTCCGTGTAGTACTTACATCAGGGGGCTGTGTCATATATTCATGACTACATAGTAGTAGTAGTAGCAGCGCGCAGCTTACTTCGCTCACCAACGACACACAACCAGGGCCGGCACATTCATACGAGCGCTGGGTGCTAGGACCACATTTGACAGGTAAAATGATGATGATTCCATGCCTTCTTGGTGTCATTCTTATATACGTCTCGGTGTCTCTATGAGTCACTAGTCAGCAAGGTGACCCTGGGACAAATCGTAGTGGCAACCGGGAGTCGGAGGGGTTTCAGACCAAACTAGATTGTATAAGTATAATCGAGGCGGTTGGACACAAACACGACGTGGCACTGCTTTGAGGCATTAATGGGGTAGTGGTAACCTGGGTCGTTGCCATCGACCCGCCGGGGGTTCGATTCCCCCTTAATGCATTATTTTAGACCTCACTTGAAGGTGGCATATGATGAGTTTCGGGTAAAACCCTTCTTTTCCTTGAAAAACCCGCGCATAGTACTAGGATTTGGTCTTCAGATTGTTCAACGTGCGTCCAGCATTCAGAACACGCAAGGTGCACGTGAAGCCTCCATGTAACACTGTTCATGGTGCCCAATCTCATAGGGCCGGGACGACACCCATCGGGAAATAATCGTGTGCCACGAAAATGAGTGCGAATCATTCGTGTTGATAGCGACTACCTTGGTACCTATCAAGCATTGCTACTCCGAGCCCCTCTCCATTGTCTTCCGCGAGAACTGAGGCAAGGACATACCACAGGGCTCTCGGACTGGGAAAGAAGCCCAGACTGACACAGTTCGAGTCACTCGACTCCGAGACGTTTCAGCAGCGCGGTCACGAGAAGCCTTGGAAGATTGCAGCGATGACCTGGGACTGACGCGCGGATGGGGCTCGACTGTATGGCGTCACAAGGGAGCGAAAGAACAACACGGCACATACCGGGGGACGTCCGCCACGGAGTGCTAGTAGCCACTACCGTCCGCTGTGTGCACGGTCTCATACAGCTCCCATGTACACGCCAGCGAATTACTCCGCGAGTACAGGCGAAGCGCTCAGCTCGAGAAGCGGCTTATCGATTCGAAGGCCTACCTGCGCAATCTGCTCTAGATCGCCGTGGGTGCGGCTGACCGTTGAACGTCGAAAGTTCGGACGACAGCGCAGTGGGCACCGATTCGAATTCGGGGGACAAACAAGTGCGTCGTCGCAGCGGGACGGTACGGACCCTGGAGTCTCGGGGCTTTGCGACCTGAGACCTGAGTGAATTTGGTGAAGAGTGTGCGTGTATAGCTTGCCTCGTGCAGGTCTGCCCGGCGCAAGGCGCCTGATGTGGATTGGAACCTAGACCCAGGCGTTTGTTCCAACCACTGGAGGAGCATGAGCGCGAGCGAACGGCGATGAACGCTCTTGGCTGGACCAATCGCGACACGGTTTACACGTATCCTCGCCGGCGGTGATTCATTCGCGAAAGAAGTGCCTGTAAGCACAAACGTGAACGAACTCAACTATCGCGAGGCATGAGGAAGAAAGGGCGCGCGACGATATATCACCAACCTTGCCCACCCTGGATGCATATGTCGGCCGGAGAGTTTGCGCGCTGATATGATGGCTTCGTGCACTAGTGTCGTCATCGGCCCAGAAGCTCTACAAGAGAGCCCGCATGCAGGTGAAGACAGGGCAGAATCCGACCCGACGCAGCCGGTAGGAAGATCCGCCAAATGAGTCGTAGACCGAGCAACAGTTGGGCACCAAATGCTGAGAACATTCCCCACCAAGTGCGGCGTCAGCGCAGGCCGCGCAGCGGAGACGTGGCCGGCATCATACGCGTCGTGTATAGGCAGGCTGGAGAGAGCAGATCAGAAGGGCGAGCGGAGTCTCAGACAGTGTAGCATCCGCCCGAGGACGACAATGCAGCCTGACGGAGTTTACGGCGAGGTGGTGCTTCTGAGGACAAAGAGAGGTCAGGTTCGAGGAAAGCGCGAGAGGAGAGAGATGGCTCGAGAGATCGCCGCCTGATGGTCGAGGAATACAAGGCACGGGGGAGTTGCGATGGCAGCGTGAGGTGGAAGAGAGAGAGCAGAGGGAGTCCGGAGTCGACAAACATGCCCAACTGGGGACGGAAGCGGGGGCCACGTGTCGGAGACGCTGATGGCCCCCAATCGCAACACAAACGAGCAGCCGCTTTTGGCTCTCCTCTTATTCCTCCCTCTCCTGCGCCGTCCATGTGCAGCTCTCGTCCGCCTTATTCTCCAACGGGCTCGCTGTGTGCTATAAGAGAACATAGACGGACGATGGCCGGGTCGCCACCATCCTCGTCCTCGGCGACCGAGAACACGCTCTTCACCGCATCGCCGCCCAACGCGTCCCCATCGCCTCGCGCCCACCCCGTGTCGATCACTCGCGCCCGCCCACTTACCCTATTGTCCGCTCGACCCGTCGACTATACTCGACCTAGTCCTCCCCGCTCCTAATACTCTTCGCAGCCCTCTCCCGCTCTCCGCCATGTTCCAGGTCGCCTCTCGCTCAGCTGCCCACCACCACGGTGTCCCGGAGCCTCTCAACCTCTCCATGGCGCACTACCAGTCGCCAGTCGCGCAGAAGTTGAACATCCCGCGCCGCCTCGCTCGCCCCACCTTCGCCGAGCCCTCCCGCGACGCGATCGCGCGTATCGACCCTGCCCTCGCAGGTGTCCCGCTCGAATACATTAGAAAGATGCTTGCTGGCAATGCTAATCAGTGCGTGCCCCCTCCCCGTCCTCGCGTCTTTGTGCCTTGGGTGTGCTGACAGAACCCAACAGGATGATCTCCGCACTGTCGCTTCTGACGATCCCGAGCTCGCTCCCGTGCGCACACCTCCCCCCGACGCTGGACGTGCCCATGCGCCCCACGTCGCAGATGCCAGACCTGTCTGCGTTCCCCTCGCACGTACTCGCCATCCTTTCTTCGCGTTCCTCATCCGCCACGCCCACAGTCGCGTCTTTCGCCGACAAGTCCTCCCTCCCGGCCTCCGCAACGATCCCGCTCTACCCCGCGTCCGCAATCGTGCTCTCCGCGCACTGCTCCCTCCTGCCCCCGCTCCCGCACGGTCTTCCCGCCAGCGGCCGCCGCGCCGCGCTCACGCTCCCCGTCATTCCGCTCACGATCCCAAGCCCCGAGACGTTCGCCCTTCTCCACGCGTACCTGCACACCATGCGCCCAGACACGCTCCTCACCGCCCTCCTCCCCGCGCTCGCGTCCTCGCTCCCGCCGATGCCGGCAGCAGGCGGCAGCAGCACCGCGCCCGCGGGCAAGCTCGTGTACGTCTCGCAGTTCAGCTCGGACCGCCTCCTCCGCCTCGCGCACGCCCTCGCCGGCGCGGCGTTCCAGCGCGGCGGCCCCCAGGGCGCGCTCGGCGGGCTCATGGCGCACGTGAAGCTCATCAACGGGCTCTGGCAAAACGTCTGCGCCCTGGGCGTGTTCGACGCGGAGCTCTGGGGCGTCATGGACCTCGCGTGGGAGGTCGTCCTCGCCGCCATGACCCAGGTCGCCGAAAAGCGGTAAAAGAACGCGCCCGCTACCGTTCCTGCACACGGGGCGTGGCGTGGACGCGACGCGCTGTGCGCTCGCTCTGCCCCCTGCCCCTACCCCTCCCCACACCCCAGCTCAAAACACCGACCGTCCTAGCCCACCTCTCCTCCGTTCGTCTTTCGGCACTCGCCCGCGGTTCTTCTTGTCTGGCTGCTTCGGACGACCTTATTACATTCGTGCTAATCCTACTATTCCACTATTGCGCGCCGCCACCCCGGTCGCGCTGCTCCCTTCCGGACGTTCTCTGACTTCCCCACGCCCATGCACATCCTCCACCTCCCTACCTCCCTCTGACCCCCTCCGTAAACCCCCCCCCCTCCCCCCCCGCGACCGCATACCTCTCATCCTGTCTTGCATACCCACCTGTGTATCATTTGTCCTGCAACCGGCACCTAAATTTGTATCCGTACTAAGCTAGCACCTATCGGTTCCCGCCGCTCCCGCCCTCCCCTCCCCGTTTGGCCTTCGGATTCTTGAGACGATGTTTCGGTAGAAGATAATAAATTGAAGAAGTGATGAGATTGAGACTCTTTAAATGAATGCCAGCGCATGCGCACGACGGTTTGTGAAACATATGTGACATATATCACTGGATGATCTTGTGTCTGCTCAAACGTCGAGAGGAAGAAGGAAGAAAAAATGGCCAACGCCGGGGTCGAACCGACGACCTTGGCGTAACTTATTAGCACCACGCTCTAACCAACTGAGCTAGTCGGCCAATATCCAATGTTGCGCAAAAATACAAATATATATTATGTTTATGTCGTAGAATATCTTGATAGACACGTTGCCCGCCCCAACTCCAGTATATGTACACAAGTACAGCTGGTTGGCACACTACATATGTTGGGCTCTACTCATGGCCCGATGTGACTCGCCATGTCATAGGCCACAACGAGATGCTTTTGGGGTGAGAGCCTTGTGCGATGGCCCACGGATCTCATCAGTTCATTGGGGACCCCTCAAGCTCAAGCTTGAGAATACCATACGCCAGCAGGCGTACTGTGACTGAGCTGGCACATCAGCAGGAGCAACGATATCCTCAAATAATGCAGCACGGCGGCCCTACATGCCCCTGCATAGGTCTTTGCAATTGCTGAGGGATTAAGGGCGAGATGAGGAACAACGCGTGACATTTGCATACCATGTCGACGATTGCCTCGGCCATCGTAGCAGGGAAGTAGTCCTGCCGCTACAACATGCGGGGACAGAGAGTCATTTCTCCTTTGTACCTTCGCGAGTTGTGGTCTTGCGCAAGCGCGGCTGGGCCTTCTCAGCACCACCGCGTGGCTGCTGGTCATGATCCTTGGCTCGGGGCTGTAAACGCAACACACACGTCGTCCGTCAGAGTTGATCGAACGATGGGAGGCGAGGAGACTCGCGCACCTCGCGGGGACGTTTGAAATGTCGAAGAACCATCTCACTCAGAGTGCTTTGCTCCTGCGTCTCCGTGTTCGGGGCCGCACAGGCGATCTGTGGGTTGAGCTCGGGCTCGACGACAGCGCGGAGCGCTTTCAGAAAGGCCCCCGATGACTGTTTCTGCTCCTCCGAGGGAGACGGCGGGAGGTGAGACGGGAGGAAGACTCGCCTGAACACTTTGTCGGACTGTTCCGGCGACCGCACCGCGATCTCCTTCATCTTCGCCCACTCCTTCTCCAGCCGCCTCCCGGTGGCGACCGTGATCTGCATGACCTCACGGAGGGCAGGAATGAGGTGGTGGTAGGGCATGATGTACACTCTCTCTTCCGGACGGATGATGTACACCCAGTCTGTGCGAATTGCGCGTGAGCGAGGCGTTCGTCGAGCCAGGAGGGGTGGCGGCGTACCGGTCAATATCCAGTCAAACGGATCGTTGTCCTCCCTGAACACCACCTTCTCGCTACCCTCCGCGCCCTCCACGTCTGCACCGCGCGTGACGATCAACGAGATGGCGGTCTTGAACTTCCGGAGCACCTCCTGGCGAACGACATGCCCTCCGATGTTCCTCGGGGCTATATCGAGCAGCGACATGTTCACGCGCCGCCCCCTCGTCGGCCCGGCGTTTATCTCGTACGGCGGGCTCGGGTGCGGCTGCGACGGACGCTGGAGGAGGGCATGAGGGAACGTGCGTAGCTTGAAGCCATCGCAAATGCGCCACGGAAACGCACGGGTGAAGTCGATGGGTAGGTACGTGAGCGCAGGGTGCGCTGGATCAAGCACCTGGTTGGGCCTGGGAGGCTTGTTCGCGTGGACTATGGGGAAGATGGCACCGGGGGTTGTGCGCCTGAACTAGGATATATGTGCTTAGGATGCTGAGGCGACTGAGGAGGGCGGAGAGACGTACGTTGATTGATTTTATGCGTCCCTCAACTTTGGGAAGGCGACAGATCTCTGCGAAGGCTGACTTGCTCATGGCACTCTCTCGCAGCTAGCACTGCGCGGGAACATGGGATGTGGATAGAAAGCTAGTAGTAACTAGTAAAGTTGGACGCTTCCTACTGGTCAAAGTCAGACTCCGACGTTCCCACGGGGGACATCTCACAAGATTCGAATATATCCTCCTGCACACCGTCATGCAAACATATTACACACGGAATCTTCCCGTCAATACGTTTTGGCCCATATAGAGAGGAATTTTCTACTCGAAACCGCCACACTGGACACGCTTGGCACAGACGGACCTACAACACGTCCTCGACTGACGTATATGCGTACTTCCGCTAGTAGCTTGCTATGGCGGAACAAAGATGATGAGCGTATACTACTATATGTATCACGGTAGTTCTTAATATTACAGTTCATGAGTACTCGATAGATCCCCATATTCGCACAGTAATCAAAGACATACCACAACATGACGTGCCAGTACAAACAAACGCACCTCCAAACGCCAGTCACTTCCTGAGATGTTGCACGAGACGACTCAAACTAACGCTTGCGATGGCGTTGTTTACGCGGTGGCGAAAACCTGCTACCTAGAGTTTCGTTGACAGTTGTTAGGGTGTCGCATAGGGGAGCACCGGGCGGCGTCTGGGACGTGGAAGAAAATGCCGGGAAGTCCTGGTGCGTCCACACGAGTTAGAATAATACCTTGCTAGGCCGCTACGCGCACACACGACTGGACCAGGAGGAAACGTGCAAACAAACTCACTTTGGAAGAATAAGTCGGGAAAGGGGCTGTGGATTTGGAAGCCTGAGTATTGTTCAGCGAAGTCCGAATATTCTTGACCGCCCGCGTGAATGGTTCGGAGAGCTCTATGGAGAACAACATGTCTGTAGCCTCATAGTTATATGCGCTGAGTAAGGAGCGCTCCAATTTGAGCCGTAGAACCCGAGTACTGAGGGATTTCAGCTCATAGCGATCGGTGCGGTCGGGATAGTCGTCAGGGATGACAAACTCGGCTTCCGCGACGACGCGTGAGGATGCACACGTGTTGAAGACCAAGGTAGATGTGCTGGTCTGTGGATATTCTGGGTTCGTCACCACGCAGGGCGCATCGTACGTGTTGTTGGACGGCCGGGCCCTAGGGCGCGGCGTCTGCGATGCAGAGCTGTGGGTTGACCCAAGAGCGGGGCCGAGGCTGCCAGGACGGTGGATCGAAAAAAGGGCAGTGCAGTCTTGTTCGCCAGCTGGCAGGAGTTGTATCCGAATGGATGGGCCTCGCGCGGTGTAGTCAGCACGCGGCGGGGGCTGAGAACAAATGTGCTCTAGGGTTGTCGTCAGAATGGCCTCCCCCTTCGGCTCGGACCACTGGCAGTCGAGCGGGGCAAGCGTAAACCCGACCGCGCGCAGTCCCTCTTCGCAGTAAGGCGCAAGCCGGAAGACGGGTCCCTCTCCAGAGGATCCATGCAGCAAATGTGATCGACCGATGAACGATCTCGAGAACCATTTTCTCTGCGACTTTGGCTTGTGCGGCGCCTCGTAGTGGCGTAGGATGCACACCTCAATCAACGCCGGTGCAGCATTGAGAACCCTGAGCATGTCCACAGTCAGGCGCACGACGCGCACCGATTGGTGCCGCCAGTCGCTGCAGACCGTGCGGATTCCGACCAAGGCATTGTCCGCGCGCCCCACATCTTCTTCCTCACAGTGCAGAGGAAGCGCAATCAGATTCCCGGCGCCGTCTTGGCAGCGCAGGAGCGCGAGGGTCCGTGTCGGGCGTCGGGCCATCAATTGTCTACAGTCAGTGCAATGAGCCCGGTCGTCTTCGAGCTTCACCTGGGCGGTGCGGGGGAGTAGAGCGAAAGGTATCTGCATAAGCGCAATGCGGGCACCTTGGGGTGTAAACACACAGTGCAGCGGAGGTGGTGCCGATACAGAAGGCATGGCGCTGAGCGTCACAAAGTCCGCGGCCGCGATGGGGATGAGGTCGCTGGCATCTTCGAACGCCTCTGGGGAACATGCGAGTAATCCTGGCTGGGTGTGGTATGGAGCGCCTCGAAAAGTGTAGCATATGTTAGCTGAGTGCGACGTGTGGCTCCAGCCCCACGCGAAGATGCTTTGATCCGGGATGTGCTTGATGATTTCCTCCTGCAGGCGGAGGAACGCGTTCGTCCCTTCGCCATAGATTGGCGACATGTGCACCCCGAAGATCCCAAGCAGCGAATACGCCCGGTCTTCGACCCGTGTCGTCTGTCGCGTTGCTGCCCAAGACATCCGCTTCGCCACACTGGCCGAGCTCAGGGGCTCCCTCCCCGTCAGAATCGGGACGTCCACCCCCGTAACCTTCTCAAGGGTAGACGCCAGACCCATCTTCGTCCCCAGGAAGGTCCACTCGGCATAGAGGAACACAACATGCGTGGGCGCGATGAGCTCCTGCAGGGTCCAGCCGCGCTTATGCCATTTGCTCTTCTGGAACGGGGAGTCCTTGGCCCGGGGGTCTGTGCCTTCCGGCACATCAGCGAGGTAGACGTAACAGACGTCTGCGTCGCGGTACAACGCATACATGGAGTTGATCGCCTCCGAGAGCTCGGCGCTGCTGCGCTTGTCGATGCAACAGGAGTCGATCCAGACGAGCCTGTAGCCCGCCTCGCGCGCGACCTCGCAGATGCCTCTGATCTTGGCGGAGAGATCGAGATGGGAGAATATGGTGTCGGAGAGAGGCGGGGGAGGGTCATCTTCCGTTCGACCTGCATCCGAGGCTCGACACGAAGATTGCAGTTTCAGGACATCGTCGTATGTCTGCTCGCCACCCTCGTGCAGGGCGCGCCAGGTGTGTGACAGAATCGCGTACGGCGTTGCATCCACGACAGCGATCCATACAAACTCGCCGGTGCGAGTGTCCAAGAAGCGGGGCATTCTATGGAGACCCAGAAATTAACAACATTGCGGTGAGATGTGGCGGGGGCACATACATTATTCGCTCTCTCGCCACGACGGCTTATATTGAAGTCAGAGTCAACCAAGGCAACAGAGATGTCTATGAGGTGTAATGGAGTTGAGCGGATGAGAAAGAACGATGGTCAGCAAGAAGGTGGACGCACTGAGAATGGGGATTTACCAGCGCGGGGTGTGGCGTGCGAGGTGCACGAGGACTGTTGCATAGTCTGTCAGTCCGTACTAGTACATATAACGTGTTCGGGCATTTCAAACGTGTAGGGCGCCCGGAAAATGCTATGCTAGCAGAACCTGTCGGGCTGTGTTAGATGAATTCAAGTTGTACATGAAAACCCGCCTCAAGGGCAACTCCGGGGTTTGTCTAGCTGCGTGGACTGTCTGGAAAATGTCGAAGGGGCTGT